TATGTTGGTGTCTGTAATGATGTTCTACACGTCTCTGAAGCTGAGCATTTTTCTTCATTCTTTATTCTCTCTGTTATTTGACATGCATCTAGTGTGTTTTTCATTTCAGTTATTGTTCTTTTTAACCTGAAAATATACATTTTTAAAAAAAATTCTATCTTTATTAGATATTCTCTATTTGTTGTGACAGTGTCATCAGAACTTTCTTTACTTCTTTAATCATAGTTTCCTTTGAACACATTTATAATGATTATTTCAAAGTCATTTTCTGTTTAATCTGACATCTGGTTTCTCTCACACAGCTGCTGTTGCCTGCTTTTTTTCTGGTGTATAGGTCATACATTCTGGTGTCTTTGCATGTCTCATAATTTTTTGTTAGGGAGTGGAAATTTTAAATAATATATTGTTAACAACTTTGGATAGTGCCCTCCACTAGGCCTGTTAGTGTTATTTTCTTGAGTTGTTATTGCTGACACTAAAAACTGAGTTGGAAGGGAAAGGAAGTTACAGATACAGAGAATAAGCAAACAGGGTGCTGAGATTAAGAAAGTCAACAGATCAAGATATTTACTAACTTCTATTGCAGGAAATCTCATGCTTGCTGCAGTTGAGCTATGTTAGTGTTTTATCCCCACCTAGAATCCAGTGTTTGTTCATTTTTAAACAGGAGCATATTTATTTTTTATTTTTATTCCTTGACTCCTTACTTTGTGCCAAGCATTGTAGAAAGAATCCCATATAAATTAACAATTTTCACAAAAGCAATTGAAAATACATGTTATTACACCTTTTATGAATGAGAACATTTTGTTTCAAAGAAATTAAGTGACTTGCTCAAAAGTACATGCTGGTAAGTTGCACAGCCAGTCTTCCATCTCAGATATGCCTGATTCTAAAGCGTGGGCTCTGAATAACTACAGTATTTGACTCCTTTTGGCTAAGCTACGTGTACATCTCTTTGCTATGGACATTTCTGTCATAGATTCTGAACTATCGGTTAACAGCTGGGTGTCAGAGTTTGCTGAACACTAGGGCAGAGGAACATCTGAATTTGTATGCCAAAATTCATGGTAATCATACATATTTCCTCCTGAGTCAAATGGCTACCACATGTGACCGTGAGGAGGCAGGTAGCCTGATTCTGTGCTTCCTTCTGGTGTGGAGTGGGTGGTAGCAGGAAGATTCATAGTCTTCTTTTGCTTCTTTTTTCCCCTTATTCTTCATTCCTCTCCCCCACAAAAAAGCTGCAGCATACCTACTGATCCATCCATGTGCACTCATTTTCCTGAGAAAGGCTTTTGTCTTGCTTTGTCATGAATTCATACATCTATTGTCACTTGACGAGCTGGTCTAGTCAAGAGATACTGATTTTTTTTTTTAATTTCTTAGCAAGATTCATATTAAGCAATTCACTTATAACTTTGTCTGATCTGGACCTCTCTGCCTCTGACTTTCCTCTGCCCCTGAAATGTGCTACCTCTGTCTTAACACCCACAGGGCTACTCAGAACAAGGAGAAAAGGAAAAGACTAAAGTGAAGGGCGAGGAGGGAAAAATTAATATCTATATTATATAACATATAATTTATAATACATTATATTTATCATACATATTTTTAAATAAAAATATGCAAAGCAACTTGACACAATTACACTTACAAGAAAAAATAGATAAATATATAACCATACTGGAGAATTCTAACATATCTTTACAGAAATTAACGTATCGGACCAAACAGTTGAAAAGGGTGCAGGAAATGTGAACTTAGCTTACAAGCTAGAACTAGTGTATGTGGGGGGTATCATATCCCTAATAAATAGAAAATAAACATTTTAAAACAAGCCTCAGAGAAAATATTGATTGCTTTTGACAGCAGATTCTCAACCAAAACATTGGAAATGAGAATATAATAAAGTAATACCCTCAATTACTGGAGAAAACAAATTTCTATATAAGTCAGTAGATAGATAGATGATAGATAGACCAAATAATCTACAAACCAAAGCAACAGGAGGAGGACATGGAGGGTAGGGATTGGTTGGAGACATGTAGACACTAGAATAAAGGACAAAAGTAACTTTTGAGATATGGAAGTTGTTTGAGTGTAGAACATTCTAAATTACTTTTATACCTTGAAAAAGAGTTTGAGATAGTAAGCATTTTTATGTTAAGTACATTGTGAACATTTAAAGGAAATTCTAATTATTAATAGATTAAAAATAGACTATATGAATTTAATCCAGGAGAAGGATAACAGTTGAATTAAAAAGAAACAACTAAGTGAATATATATTCATATATATATAAATTTGTCTAATACTGGGAGTGTTAGTTAACCTTTGACCACTGTGTAAGATAGTGTCTGCCAGGTTTTTTGACTGTAAAGTTAATTTCCCCCCTTGTAATCAATAAATAGTTTTTGAGGAGGTACTTTAAGACTATGCAAATATCTTGTTCCTCAGAAAATTTCCTTTCAACTAATTTTATTTCAAAACCACTAAACAAGACCTAAGTGATTGGAAATATATATTATATATGAAAGGGGTGATTTTTCTATTGTCAAGATACCTATTCTCCATTAATTGATCTATGAACTAAAAACAATTAGAATAAAAATCCCAGCAAAATTTTTCATGGAACTTGAAAAGGAGATTCTAAAATTTTCTTGGGAGAGAAAAAAGACCAAGACCATCAAAGACAATTTTGAAGAAGAAAATAAAAAGGTGGGGCTTCCCTTTTCAGTTATGCAGATTTATTAAAATCCCAAGTATTTAAGAGGGTGAGGCATCTGCATTAACAAGTATAAAGCTTTATTAAAATGCCAAAATATTTAAAAGAGTGAGAAATAGATGATCCAGTGGAATAGAATAGGAAGCCCTCAAAACAGATAGTGTCCTTTGAAGCATGGAAGTTTTTAATTTTGATGAAGTACAAATGTCTCTATTTTTTCTTTTATTTTTTGGTCTTTTGGCGTCATATTTAGGAAACCATCGCCAAACTAAGGATATGAAGATTTACCCCTACGTTTTCTTTTTTCTAAGAGTTTTATAGTTTAACTCTTACATTTAAGTCTTTGATCCATTTTGAGTTAATTTTGCAAATTACCTGAAGGGGAAGGTCCTACTTCATTATTTTGCACATGGCCATCCAGTTGTCCTGGCACTATTTGTTCAAAGACTATTCTTTTCCCATTGAATGATCTTGGCATCATTATCAAAAATCAGTTGACTATAAACACATGGTTTTATTTCTGGACTAACAAATAAAATCATTCAGTTATTGGTCCCTACAGTTTGAAACCAATATAGTTTGGAGAGTTCCTTGGAAAGTTATATGTCTTACAATGAGATAACTATAAGATAACTATAACTTCTACTTTCTTAGACACCAGTACTGCTCTTATTATGCCTATCTTATTTGATTTAATGCTCAGAGAACCCTAAAAGATGAATATTGTTATGCGATCATTATTGCTTAAAGACAGAGAATGTAATGATTCACAGCAAACCCTCTGGAGTCTCACTGCCTGGACTGAATCCTGACCTTACCATCACCTTTGTAGCCATGGCCAAGACACTTAACTTCTTTGTGTTTCAGTCTCCCCATTTGTAAAATAGCACTTACCTCATAGGCTTATTGTGGAGATTAAATAATTTAATATACGTAAAAAAGCTTATAAATGTTATGATTATTTCAAAGATAGGAAGACTTGGATACATAAAACTAGACCGTTTTCTCCAGGTAATTAAATTAGAAATTGATGTATTTGATATAACAAATGAGTTCTGTGCTTATGCTCCTGACTGCTCTGCTTTCTGCCTCCCATGATATTTATTTAGATTATTATTTTATTGTTTTATGGGTTACTGGTGATGCCAGTTTTGAAAATTTCCCAGGTGAAAAGCATTTCAGTTTAAATGGCATAGAATTTTGAAAAAGTGATCTTCATTTGTCTGTGTCTTAGACTGGTCTCCAAATTCTCTTCTGAGGACTCTTTTGGCACTGCCCATATATTAGCTCACTTGTGTTGAGGTGAGATGGCTGTCCATCCAATCATATGTCATGGTCAGACTGCAATTTTACAACTCTGTGTCCTACACAGGTGACTGTTATTGTGTAAATCTGCACTTAACTAAATGGTTATATATGTTATATATAATACCTGCGTGTCAGGCTTTATGTAGACAAAGTAAACTCAAATCTTATGTCTTTACTCTTTATCAAAAGCTTTGTGTTAACACAGGGTTCCTGAGAACTACTCAGTCCACTCATTCCTATAGATGATTGGATAAAGAAGATGTGGTATATATATACAATGGAATACTACTCAGCCGTAAAAAAGAAAAAAAAGTCCCATTTGCAAGAACATGAATGGACCTTGAGGGAATTATGTTAAGTGAAATAAGCCAGATAGAGAAGGACAATCTCTGTATGACTCCACTCATGTGAGGACTTTAAACCTGTGGACAAAGAGAACAGATTAGTGGCTACCAGGGGAAAGGGGGGTTGTGGGGGTGGGCACAAAGGGTGAAGGGTTGCACCTACAACACGACTGACAGACAATAATGTACAACTGAAATTTCACAATATTGTAACCTATCATTAACTCAATAAAAAAATTAAAAATAAAAAAATATACACTATTAAAGGAAGTCAGATCATAAGAAGGCTGTGCATCTGGTTTGCATTATTCTGTCCCCTTATAAAACCATTTGAAATAAATTCCATTGTGGAATTATACAAATGACTTAAATTGAGACGTGTATAAGTAATAGTTCTATAAATTCAGTCTTGTGTCCATTGTGAGGATTTGATTCAACACATGTATTAAATTCTTGACATATGCCAGATACTCTACTAAATTACGGATATACAAAACAGTTAAGGCATGGTCTTGCTTCTGAAGGACTTACACACTTGCAAGGTCAGAGTAAACAAAGAATTGCAAAACGCCTGTTATACCTGGCATGGTAACATTAATTACCAGCAACAGCAAGGGAAAGTGAATCAAGGGTTCAGTCCTGAATGGTCAGGAAGGTCATTATGGCAAAAAGAAAGACAGAGAGAAAAGGAAGGTAGGTTCATCTTTCTGAAGGGCTTGGATACAGAAGGAAAGAGGAGGTAAGTGCTGCTATGTTGAAGGAGGATCAGATCTTCTTTCATTTATTTGTTTTGGTTTGTTTGTGATAGAAAAGAGTTGAACAGGCCTTTAAAGTGTTGAAAGGAAGTCACTGAAAAGAGAAATATCTGCTTGCTTACCATCTCTCATCCTCTAAATCAGCAGTGATCGTGAATGTGGCAGCTTACAATCCTGGTATAGGTTGCTAGTACCAGAGGGAACAATATGACCTTTATTCTCAAGTAATGATGGTAATGTTTTCAGTCTGTCTGGTGGCTTCCTGAAAGACTGGTGAAAGGGCTTGGCTTTATTTAGTGGAACTTGGAACATTCCAGGCACTGAGGCAGCTTCCTGGGTGGGTAGTATTTGCTGAGTTTCTAAATGCAGTACTATTGGCCATAGCAGTCTGGGGAAAGGGAGAAGCCTAGACAAGCAATAGACAGCCTGGAAAGCCTGGAAGAAGTTGGGAAAGGAGATACATGGGAACATAAAGGCCCTTAAAAGTTCCTGTGTACACTGGGGAATCAAGAAGAACACATGCACGTGCAGAGTTGGATGCTTGCTCAGAAGAGACCTGAGAAGACCCGCAGCTTTCATCTCTGGCTGAGCTCCAGACTCCATGCAAGCAAGAAGTGAAGGTTAAAGCAGGATTGTAAACAGCTTGGCCAAGGGTTGAACGTGTGTGCTCACACAGAGCCTGTCTGCGAAGACTAGGAGAGTACTATTTTTTCTTTTTTCTTTTGGCCCCAGGAGCTTAAGGAAATCTCTGTCAAAACATTTGCTGATCACTGAGCTACCAGAACTCAGACTTTAGTGGTCACACACAACAAAGGATACAGACTTTACAAAAGTCCATTGGGAAAGTCAATAAACCAAACAAACGATGACAACCCACAACAAGTAGCAACAACATATCCCGAGGAGGGGAGAATCTGATTTTCAGAGTTGCCACATTAAAATATTTAAAGTGTCCTGTTTTCAACAGAAAAATTATGAGCCATACAAAGAAAACAGAAAGTATGGTTTCATTCACAGGAGAAAAAAGAGAAATTAATAGAAACTATCCCTGAGGAAGTGCAGGGATTGGATTTACTAGACAAAGACTTTAAATCTACTATCTTAAATATCTTCAAAGAGCCTAAGGAAACCAACGGCAAAGAATTCAGCTAGAACTATGTATCACCAAATAGAGAATATCATTAAAGAGATAGAACTTATAAAAAGGAACTATGTATACCAAATAGAAAAGCATAGGGGAAATATCTAATCAGAGTCAAAACAGGACATTTCCTTTTTTTGAGACTGGTGTTAAGAGGTGAGAGGGGTTACTTTTATAGAGAAGGCTTAAGAAGACGGATGGAGAATTAAGAGAGGGCACAACTGAAAGCTCATTCTGCTCTGGACCAAGGTCAACTGCTAAGAAGAGAGCATGATTTCTACGGGTCTGAGGAAGGCTGAAGATTCACATGTGGCAAAAATGATGCTTAATATCAAGTCAACACTGGAGTTCACGAATGGAGGTGGTGAGAATTTGCACCACTGTGATATATCCTTGAGCTCATTCATCAGGCACAGAGCAGGAGTAGAGAGGGCATGTTGTTATAATGATCCACAGTTCTTAAACTCTTAACCAATAAAATTTCCTAGTGTTCTCTTTCCTAGTATTTCTTGCTAGTCTCAGTAACAGGAAAGGGTCTTTCTCCTAAATAATATTTTTTTCACCAAGGGTTTGCATTAAAACTTTTTTATCAGGTGTTACAAAGTACAGAATCAAATTTCTATTTTACTTCCAGAAACCACAAAGAATCATATGGTATGCATTTCTATAGGTGGATATTTAATTCTTAGTTTTCTTTCCACCAGCTTTCCTGTAACAGCATTTTATAAAGTGGATATAACTTAGAACTCAGTTCTGGAAATTTTAGCTAGGTAACTAAAGGCTACATTCTAAATGCCCTTCCTTGACAGTCACAAATTACATTAATAATATTTAGAGTTTGCTTGTGTAATAAATATTTAACTATTTCTAAAGTCAGCTTCTCTTGTATTTATTTTGTTAACTGCAAAAAAACATTTTGCAGAACACTGCTCTGTGAAATACCAGTTTGAACAATTCTGTCTTAAGCCGCTTATTTTATTCTCTTGCATTTTATGTTTTTCTAAACTGCCTTGAAACTTTTGTCATTTGAGGAAGGCCAAGGAGACCAACTGGTCTCCAGATTGAGGGAGACGATTTCACTTGACCCTTATGGGTGAGTTCACACCCAGGCAGTTCTGTTCCCTTTTCACATCAACATCTTCTCTTTTCTCTCAACGCGTTTTAAATGGTATTTTTCCACTTTACCTTTTTTGTTTAATATAGAATATACGAATAAGGAAACACAAATGACCCATAGGTTGACTGTTAACACCTGCTGAAATAAAATAAATAAATAATGTGTTAGGTACTTATGGGAAGAAATTGCAAATATTACAAAATAATGTAAAGTCATAAATATTATTCTTTCTAAAGGAAATTCTTGTTAATAGTTTCTTGGCTTGATTTTAAGAAAATATACCATATACCAGTAAATAAATATGCACAGAGGTATATACTTAACAAAATAAGCAAAAGTTATCATACTATGTTGATTCACTAACTTGTGGCTTTTTCCCCCTCTAAAATACATTTTAGGGACTTTTCCATATAATAATAAAATATGGCTACTTCATTGTTTTTAAGAGTTGCATATCGTTGAAAGAGAAAAGCAGAATTAATTTAACCACTCCTCTTAAAAACTTGACATAAAGGGATAAATTTTCAGCTATAGAATTCCTAAGTCAAAAAGAACGGGTGCCCATTTACATACCACCAAAAATATATAGGATTGCCATTTTCTTCTTGTCGTCACATTTTAAAGAAGACATTGCGAAACCAGCACACAGGCAGTGAGGATGTTGAACGCGTCTGGAAACCAGTCCATGTGAGAACAGATTGATAAGACTGGGTTACTGATTCTCAGGTAAAAAAGCTGGAGAAAAATGATCTGCGTTAGAGCATAAATGAATTCTATTCCTCCTGCTTAACCTTCCGAGGGTACTTAGATTTCACGAGAAAATCATGAGTTATTTTCTCATTATGGATTTTAGGCAGTGTAGGAAATTATTGTTTGAAAAAAATAAACAAGAGTTAGCAGAGGTTTTGTTACAGGGTTTAAGCCTCCACTACGTTAATCTGGTAACAGCTTCTTTCCTTAATCTATTATTCTCGACCCTCTTTTGAAAGGCATGAATACTAAAAGGGTTAAAAGAAACTATAGATGATTTGCACTATAGATCAAAATAGTTGGTCACTTTGTTTCCTAACATTGCGTTCTGATAAATGCATCAGGAAAAGAAAGCTCTGATAGGAGAAGGGAGCTGAGGGAGAAAGGGTGTTCTATTTTCAACTGTGACTTCTTTAAGACGGAAACTGGATTGACCTTGGGGCTACCTTTTGGAGGACAGAAGGCATTATGAAGTCAGAAGGCAGCCTCTGGGGAATAAATAACTGCCTCAAGAATGAAATTGAGCCTCGTAGAATGGAGGTATGGAAACCACCCAAAGACAAGCTCACACATTTCGTGAATGTTTCCAGAGCTCATACAACTGCCCAGTCTTTTTCTCATTTCTTTTTTTCTTTACTTTTTAATTTTCTTTACTGTTTTCTCTTTCTTTTTCTTTCTTTCATTCTGTCTCTGTTGAAAAGTTAGTTTGGTACTGTCTGCTCAATAATGCTTTCCTGAAATGTCAGGCACAGCCCCTCTAACTCCTCTCATCCAAATGCTAAGAATGTAAGTCCAAGTCTTTGACGTCCCCTGCTTTCTACCTAGTTCCGCTTCAGATCCTCCTTCCACATTCCACCTACAGTGTATACATATTGTTTTGAAATCCTCAAGTTACTGCCACTATTTTTTTCTTGCCTTCTCAGAAATACTTCTCCTATTTTATTCATGAGATACTAGTGGACCATTTTATGTACCTAGGTAATTCTGCCTCCTTACTCACATTTTATTGGTACAAGGAGGGCATGTGAACCAAGGTTGGCCAAGCAGAGCTCTTCCCTCAGACTTTTTCAGACTGGACTACTAGAGGCCTCCTTGAATAGGAACATGGGGTGGGTCCAGAACACTGAAGGCTGAGCATTCACCTGAAACAGTCACCTGAGTTCAAAGAAACGAGATCTAGTTTTCCCTTCTGTCACATCTCAACGGAATTTACAGCCCACAACAGAATCATGCAATCTAAGCATTCTGAATCTTGGTGATATGAACGTTCTAATCTCTCAAAAGTGGCATTGCAGATGTCACCATTTCATTAAAAATATAGGCATAGATGTCCTTAGTTAGTTAATATAGTTAGATGTCCTTCCTTAGAAAAATGTTAAACCACCATAAATGCCCGGTGAAAACAAAGAGAGAGGAAAAAGCCAAGCAGCCATCACAAAGTAAACTTTAGGAAATTCCCTTTTGATGGATGATTTTGATTCCATGTTGCAAATTACTTTGGAGTTTAGTTTGAAGGTTTTTTTTTTTTTTCCCCTGAATTCTTATTCTCTTAAGATAGCTTAAGATTGACGTCTTGGAAAATGCTTCCCAAGGTCACACTCTGTCTTAGAGCAGGCGTTTTCCATGAAGCTATGAATTTAAGGAACAAAATAAAAATCTATTTGTCTCAAGAAAAATGTAATAGACAGGTACTCTTTGGTGAATGCAATTTATGGTAATTGATGGCTCGAGTTGTGAATCTTCATTTCATAAATCAGAAAATAAAACCTGTGACATGGTGATTGACACTAATGACAAAACTCAAGTCTAGAACATACCAGATCTTAACTTTGTCTTTTCTGGACCAGGGTTATCTTGCCAACTTTTTTGGGTAGTTTTATAATACCTGTGATATGTGGAGGTCAAAATCACTAGCTGACAACTTAGAATTTGTCAGATAAAAACATTCAAAAACACTGAAAATTTGTAAGTTGAGT